AAAACAAAGAAACCACTTACACCCTTCTCAAAGGCCAAAACTCACCTATGCTCCACAGCAGACAGCCTCCAGAGATCAACATTGCCCTTACATCCGCCAGCACTTCAATGTGGTCAGGATGCCCCAAAAACAGGAAAGGTCACAGCCCTAAAATAAGAAGGAATCACTCATCCTTTCTCAAGGACCAGAGCTCACCCCACACTCCCAAGGAGATGGTCTCTAAAGACAGATACCACCTTAAAGGCTTCCAGCCCTTAAGTGGGGTCAGGATCCCCCCAACAACAAGATATTGCAACCCTGGAATAATCACTCACCCAGTTTCAAGGGTTCACCCCACATTCTAAAGGAAGCAGTCTCCAGGTGCAGTTGCTGCTCTTTCTGCTGACAGACCTTAAATGTGGTCAGGAGCCCCCAGAAAGGAAAATTACAATTCAGCAGTAAAGAAGAAATCAATGACCCCATTCCAAAAACAAACGCTCAGCCCACACCCCAAAGGAAGCAGCCTCCATGCAGAGATGCTGCCCTTACAGTTTCCAGCCCTTAAAAGCGGTCAGGATCCCCCAAAAAGGGAAAGACCAAAGCCCTGCAATAAAGCATCAATCACTCACCCCATTCCAAAGGGCAGAACTCACTCCCAATGCTCCCAAGAAGGCAGTCCCCAAGCAGAATGCTGCCCTTGCTGTTCCCAGCCCTTAAATATGGGCAGGGAGGGGGTGGAGCCAAGCTCAGCCCTATCCGGTCCCACAGGTAAATTGCTTCCACCTGTGCTGGCAGGGCTGGCCACACCCCTCACCAGGTGCTCAATCACTGCTTCAGGCTGTAAACAACAAAAAAAAAAACTAATTACAAGCAGGTGATTGGATCTGCCTGTCCAGCAAGGGGAGTTTGATCAAAGGATGAGCAACAATAGCATGCATATTTTGATTCAAGTCTGTCCTCAAAGGCATTTGGTAAAATTTCTAATAGATAGGGGAGCACAAATTTCAGTACTGATACAGCACACAAATTTCGGTACTGATGCAGAAGATGCTGAAAAGCTGTGTGTGCAGCCTGGATGGCAGAGTTGAGATCACCGGTGTGATCGGAGTGAGCGCTGTTTGCCAAACTGGTGGGGACAGCTTGTGGCTCTGCAGTGAGAAACGTGTCGCCTGCTTTCTTTGCAATTAAAGCCCATTGTGAAAACAATTTAGGATTTGACATCCTCAGTGGGTGAACCTGGCACCTGCCTGCATGGCAGCTGACATAGGGATGGCACTCGGGTGATATTGGGGAGTGACGCTGGGGGATGGTGTTGGGTTATTACTGCAGGGTGACATCAG